CAAAGAAGGAGTCAGCTGCCCGCTTCAGAAGAAGCAGCTGCTGAAAGCCTACGTACAGACCAGCTTATATTCGTGCTTATTCTGCGCACTAGGTTGGCATAAGGCTCGGGTTTACAGAGGGAGATCTAAATCCTTCTCCACATACATTCAGCCTCCATTGAGTTTTTTCTGATCACTGATCACACCAATAAAATCAAACCCACTGCCACGGAGTTAACCCCAATGTAGGGGGTTTCTGAGGCTGTCCATCTCTATCCATCCAATGGTAAATTTCAACTGCCCATCTAATGGTTAGCAGCTCAACTCTTAACCAACAGCAGCAGCACCAGGTCTCCCTGACCTGTGACCAGCAATGTAAGAACTTTGTTCTCAGGTAGAGAGTATTTGCTGAGTCTCCCATGGCCAGCCTGGAGAGGGGCAATCTCAACTTTAGGGAATTGCCTGGGCTCATCCTGGGGTGTAAGGTTTTGAGTCAGCCTCCAGTAAGGCGGTCAGAGGGCCAGGGAGCTGAGCCTGCTGGCGTTTCTAATCTGGATGCGTGTATGTGTCCCAATCTGTCCCTTCCTGTTTCCATCGTCCAGCCCACCCTGGGACTAGGGCAGATGCATCTACTGCCAGTCATGATTTTAGGATAAATTTCCTTTGTTTTCCATATTTTATAATTTAACCACATGGCTGTGAATCCTTTGGACCCCATTATTGTCTTATGCTAATGGTCCTCCTTATCGGGCTGATTCATTTGGGGTTTGCCTTTGTGTGCTATCTTAAACAGCGTCCTCTACTTTTTCATCTACATTCTGTCATTCAGTGCGATGACCGCGCAGAACTCACGGTGTTAATGAAGGAAGTTAATAGGCTACACTGCAGCTGAGAAAGGCTCAGGATACAGAGATTCAGTCAGGACAGGCTACAAAGATCTTTCAGGGCTGCTAATAAATGTTCAAAGGACGTGCCTCTCTGCTGTAAGTCTCAGCCTGAAGGCATTCAGCTCAAGCTCCAAAGGGCAGCAAACCCACTCCCCGTATTAAGTGCCCAGAGTGACTCCGTTCCTGTAAGTCTCAGCCCGAAGGCAGTCAGTTCCACTATCATGAGTCGGAAGGCGAGCTCCCCCAGTGAAGTGCCCAGAGGTGCCCTCCTCTACAAGCCAGCCTTCTGCACAGAAGAATGCTCGGTCTCACACTGGCTCCTGGCGATGTTGCTGATTCTCTGACGTCAGCTGTCCTCTGGGTCAAGGAAGTGCACTATGCAGGGGTCTGGCCCTCTAGAGCAGTGGTTCTCAACCTTCCTAATGCCCCGACCCTTTACTTCAGTTCCTCATGTGGTGACCCCCCAACCATAACATTATTTTCG